AAAAAAAATGCATTCTCAACACATTTATTGGACGTGAAAAACAACATTGTACAATCAGAAACGATGGATTTCAGGGGGCTAAATTACCGAGTTATCGTGGGGTATTTAAGTTTTATGAGTACACGTATGAAGCTCTCGGCGTGTCACATATGTCTACATGTACGTAGGACTTCGACCGTATAGCTGAATACGACCAGCCCGGATCATATTGCTGTATAAACATTGTTTAACTGACATGCTGTTGTGCATGTGATGGTATAATCAATTACGTTAATAATGAGACCTCTTTATTACTTTTTATTAAACAAGATGGTGCCCATAAAAAGTTCAGTTTATGCATAATCTATGACAAAATAACAAAAGAAAAGTGTGCTGAATCGATATTTGATATGAAATCCATTACTATCTCGCTAAAGATTGATTAGTCGTATAGAACACGTATAGAGACATACTGGTCAGAAAAGATTTTACCAACGATCAAGCGCGAGGGTGTTTTACAAAAAAGATTGAAAAACAACAATTGCAAATCAATGAATCACATGCTCAAGTTTCAAACTTATGAAGTTCCCGATCGAATTCAGGGTTTATGTACTTTATACTATTCATCAGTCTCAATACTATGATGTACCACGTAATTAGATTAAGTTTAAGTTCGTGGATGGTGTACGTAGAAAAATGAGTTCCCGAGCTTTTTCAGCATGCAACAATCGCATTACTTTTGATGGTCGTTGGTACCGGTGACTATGAACTGGCCGCGCACGCGCAAAATTTCAAGCTTAGTTATCTTGCGGGAATTGTCATCATTTGATAACGCCCTAAAAGTTAAAAGTTCCCAACACATGTGTGCTAGAAAACCGACTTTTGTTTTTACTTCTACGAATGATATGTTAACAATACCGCAGGAATCGCTAAAAATATGAAAATACCGACGGTATTAAGCATTAAGCTTTATTAAAAGTTATTTTTTATCTGATTTTTATTTATAAGTCTACAAATAAAAACGCAGTATTTATATGTTTTCAAACACATTACATATGTATAGTCAAACGAACATATATTACGGACAAAGAGTTCGTAGCGGTCTGGTAACTTCTACAAAGAATGGAACTGAAAAAAAATAATCCATGGAACTGAAATAAAAT